GGGGTCCGTGCCCGAGAATGAGAATTTTCTTCACCAGAACATGGAGACTGTTCCATCACCAGGAGCACAAAGTTTTCATTGTTGGGCTGGATAATGCAGGGGAAACTACCATTCTTTACCAATTTTCTATGAATGAAGTTGTACATACATCTATAAGAGAAAGTCATGTAGAAGAGTTAGCGATTAATAATACACGTTTCCTAATGTGGGATATTGGTGGCCAAGAATCTTTTTGTTGTTCCTGAAACACGTACTATACTAACACAGAGTTTGTAATAGTTGTTGTGGATAGTACAGATAGAGGATTTCTGTAACTAGAGAAGACCTCTAAAATGTTAGCGCATGAAGACCTAAGAAAAGCTGGATTGCTGAGATTTGCTAATAAACAAGATGTTAAAGAATGATGACTGTAGCAGAAATCGCGCAGTTTTTGAAGCTACGTTCTATTAAGGAACACCAGTGGCATATCCAGGAATGATGTGCTCTAACTGGCGAGGGATTGTGCCAAAGACTTGAATGGATATCTCGACTTAAGATTAGATCTCTATGACCTCGTAGACTTTGTATAAATGAAGTGCTGGACTTTACCTGAAAGCTGCAAAAATTAATGGTTTAGATATATTTATAATAAACTGATTTAAACTTTTTCCATAGGAGGACGAATTAAGACCACTTATTTGAAAGCAAAGATGGAGAGGGAGGAGGAAGAAGAGAAAACGGTGGAGCGGCGGCGTCGGCTGTAGGTTGTGCAGCGGCAGCGGCTTTCCCGCTGGCGGAGGATGGACAGCCAGGACGGGAAGGTGGTGGTGTGCGGCAACAGCGCCGGGTTTGTGAAGTGTGGATATGCAGGCTCTAACTTTACAGAACACATCATCCCAGCTTTGGTTGGAAGACCTGTTACCAGATCAACCACCAAAGTGGGAAACATTGAACAAGGATCTTACGGTTGGTGATGAGGTAAGCGAATTACGATCAATGTTAGAAGTTAACTACCCTGTGGGAAATGGCATAGTACGAAATTGGGATGACATGAAACACCTGTGGGACTACACGTTTGGACCAGAGAAACTTAATATAGATACCAGAAATTGTAAAATCTTGCTCACAGAACCTCCTATGGACCCAACCAAAACAGAGAGAGGACTGTAGAGGTAATGTTTGAAACTTAGCAATTTTCTGGTGTATATGCAGCCATCCAGATAGTTCTGACTTTGTACGGTCAAGGTTTTTGTTATGGGGAACCTGTGTTCCTGCATTCGAGGTATGTTCATATTGACCTGTCAAATGCTGTCTTTTCAAATTACTAGTTAATATTTTCAAACTATGTTATTTAAAAAATTAACCTCTGTATTTTCCATATGCAGTTATAAACATGTTTCATGGTTATGTTTTATTCCTCAATTTATATATTTGATTCTTGTATCAAGCAGGGTACCTTTGAAATTTTTCTACATTTAAAGTATATAT